TGGGAATTTAAAGGAGTATTTATATTTCATTTGGATACGTTATGAAAAATAGGATTGGAAAATTGAAGAAACTGATGTAAAAATGTTTTTTTTTTTTGGGAATTTAATTTGTTTTGTTTGAATTGGAGATTAGAGTAATGGTTGATCAATTTTCCTTGTTTGGGTGCTTAGAGTTGGTTGAAGAAACTCATTTAATTTGAAGCACAAGTTAGATGTTTCTTTGTATGGGCGACAAATTATTCACATGTAAATGTGTTTTTGGTTTGTTAATTTTTGCAAATATATATGTATATATATATTTTTTGTTAGGTAGTCTTCAAATTCCAACCCATCATTTTGCGACCTTTCTATTAGAGTGAGAATGAGGAGATACCTTATAATGTAAGGTCGGTGAGCCGTGCCCCAATTCCAAACTTCCCTCGCAAGGGCTGATCGAAGAATAACTCGACTTAAGAAAGGGTTCGAGACAACAAACTTTGTGTTTGAGGCTAACCTTGACGATTAATTAATCATCGTATTTTAACAATGTCCTTAGAACATAGCTCAACCGTCATTGAAACTTACTCTTTTTTACCAACTCTTTCTGTACTCCCGTTAAAAGAAATAGTGTCTCCCAATTTATTGCATTAAAAAAAATAGTGTTTTTCGAATAAAAAAAAAAAAACAAGTCCTTAGAATTAGGATTAGGGCTTGTAATTAACCTTATAATATGGATGTGATGTGATTTAAAAAATTTTGAAGTCACAACTAGTGGTATTATAATGTTCTTTTTTTTAAAAAAATAGCGTTATAATATTATATGTCATGAATTAATTGCAACGATTTTATCATTTCATAATTTTAAGATTAGGAACCCGTAATGAATTGAAATCAATTCGTTGTAAATTTGTAATAACCTTTAATTTATAGATGAGTTTTGCATCTTTTCCTTAAAAAGTCATATTTGGTACCAACCTATTTTCTCGTAATTTATTGCATGTGTTTGATATCAAGCGGAGAAACAACTAAAAAAAAGAGGAAACTTTTTCTTTCGAGAGTTTTGATGTTAATAATAACCTTACAAATTTAAGGCATCTCAACCCTCTTTGTAAGAGTACAAATTTAGCCTTTTGGATTAACTTGGTTTAATCTTAATCATTGTTCTAATAGTTGACGTCCGATCCATCTCCATCCGTTTGTTATTTCTATTTTTATTCTTATTTGTTTGTCCTTCTCTAATTTCAATAGTACCATTTTTCTTATATCTAAAGGAAAAAAAAAAAGAAAAAATTAGTACCATTTTCTTATAAACTCTTCCTCATAGGACCGAACCATTCATCTTTAAAATCACCATTTTTCTTTTCTGTAGATGTAATTTCAAAATATACCATGATATACTCTTTTTTTTTACCAACATTTGTGTTAAGAATATAGCAACATAGTCTTTGTTAGTGGAAACGGTATGCAAGACTGGACCAAAAAATTATTTCACCCCTAGTGGATTATCCCTGAAAAAAACAAGTTGGAGAATGGGCAACCATCAACGTGGATGCGGCTTGCAATAATTCACTCCCTCATATAGATATTGAAGTGTTGATTTCTGATACTCTCGAAAAGGTTACTTACGCAACGTCACAAAGAATTTCTTCAAACTCTTCAAATTTTTAGAACTCAAATATAATTGAAAAGTTGAGCTCTTTGATATCAAATGTAGCCTAAGTGACGTCTCTCTGTGGTAACTTATTTTACTTAAAAAAAAAGCAACCTTAATCATTAATTACACCATTAATAATTACTAATTAGATTAAAGCGACCATTAATGATTGTTAGTTAGATTAAACCAACCATTAAGGATTATCAATGAGACAAGATAAAGAATTTCGAAATATAAACTATAAAATGCAACATTTATAATTGTTCAATATGAATTTGAATCCAATACTCGACTTATTTAATCTTAGTCCAACAGTTGTCAGTGGCAAATCAAGTGGCTATTTCTTGCAATGCTATTGATATTAGTGATTCAATTCGTAAAATGTGATCAACTTACATTTTCTATATTAGAAAAAAAAAAAAACCCGATTCTCCAC